AACAGGACTATGTGGTTGGTTGGTTTGTTTTTGAGATGGGTTCTCACTATGCAGTTCAGGCTGGCCTTGAGCTCATTATGTAGCCCAGGCTGGTCTGGAACTCACAGCAATCCTCCTGCCTCAGCCTCCCAAGTGCTGGGAGTATAGGCGTGTGCCTCCCTGTCTGGCATAGAACTATGTTTTACTGTTGCTTTGACTTTTGGATTTCAAAAGCAATAGAATTTCTGTCACTGAACCATGATTTCAGAACAATAGAAGAAGACCAACAATTAAGAAATCTCCTGAGGAAAGACAGTGGGTAGCCTTACAACTATGTTTTGCATAGGTGGCTTTATAGACACATAATTGCCCTTATTTTTTAAATTTCTCTACAAATCAGTGCAAAGGTTGACAATGGACTGTATAACCTCTGCACCCGCTCCAGTCTCCTGTAGCTGCCTGAGGTAGGGTAGCAAAGATAAAAGATAGGTAAAAAGAGACAAGAAAATTGTAACTTTAAAAAATTGTACTTTTTTGGAGACAGGTTTCATTACGTAGTTTAGGCTGGCCTCAAACACGCAGCAATCCTCCTGCCTCAGCCTTCCCAGTCCTGAGATGGTGTGCCCCATAATGCCCCCTCAAAATTATACTTTTACGAAGATTTAGGGCTGTATATAGCTCAGTGGTGAAAACACCTGCCTGGCAAGTGCAAGGTCCTTAATTCGATTCCTGATACTAAAAAAAAAAAAAATAGAAGATTCAGGACAGGTGCCACACACCTGTGATCCAGCACTGGGGAGGCTGAGGCAGGAATAACAGAGTTAGAAACAATGGAGCTGAAGGAGTCACTCCATTCCTTCCATTTAATTCTAAACAGTACTCTATGGTTATTCCTGCTTCCGTGCTTCTAAGAGGGGTTAAAGAAATAAAATAACAAAAACCTACGAGCTTTCCAGTACGCTAGCTGCATCTCCCAGCTGGACCTTGTAGTCACCTTCACCTTCCTTCCATTCAAAAATATGCACCATGGGCCATAAATATAACTACAGCCACAAGGGATTCTGGGAAGAACATGAGTGTTGGGAGCCTGTAATATGACTCAGCTCCCTGTCAATGGTTCTGTCAGTCACAGTCTAGGGGCTGGGTATGGCGGCTCAGGCTGTGATCCTAGCACTCTAGAGGCTGAGGCAGGAGGATTACCGTGAGTTTAAGACCAGCCTGAACTAGGAAGTGAGTTCAGGGTCAGCCTGGACTATACAGTGAGACTCTGTCTCAAAAAACATACCAAAAAAAGAAAAAAAAAAAATAGAAGACTGCAACTTTCAGAAAACAACCAGTTATCCAAGGAATGTCCAAATTACTGTACTTTGCTGGACTGAGGGGTCTGAGGCAAGAGGATCACTGTGAGTCTGAGGCCAGCCTGAACTACATAATGAGATCCTGCCTCAGAAAACCAAACCAAACCTGACAAACACAAAAAAGAATATCCAAATTACCTATTTAAAAACACAGCCGGGCGTGCTGGCGCACACCTGTAATCCCAGCACTCAGGAGGCTGAGGCAGGAGGATCGGTGCGAGTTCGAGACCAGCCTGGGCTACAAAGTGAGCTCAAGACCAGCCTGAACTGCAGAGTGAGACCCTGTCTCAAAAAAGACAAAAATAAATAAATAAAAAATAAAAACACATAGACCGGGCTATAGTTCAGCAGCACAAGCGCCTGCCTGGCAAGTGCAATGTCCTGAGTTTGATTCCCCATACCAAAAAATAAAATAAAAAAATAAATACACAAATGCCAGGGCTGGGAATATAGCTCAGCAGCACAGCACCTGCCTGGCAAGTGTGAGGTCCTGAGTTGGACTCCCAGTACCCGCACAAAAGAAAACCCACAAATGCCCATTTGTGTAAAATGGGCCAATATCCTGTGGGAAGGCTCCATTCTCTAGGCTTTTCCACCCCTTCAAGAGGGTGGAAAGGGTCCTACTCCCAAACTGTAGTGCATTGCCCTTTGAGCACCTGCGTTCCGCCCAAGCGCGTCCTGTATCTGCATCTAACAAATCCTGCCCAGCCTCCGATGAGAGCCAGCGACCAGCAGAGACCACCAGGCTTGTGTAAAGGCAACGTGGCATGAAATTTAGTGTGCCTGGGTGCGGGCAGACAGAGGACAGAGGATAAAAAGGCATCTGTGGGTTACAGAGAAAAACAGAGCCTTTTTATGGGGCCTGGACAGAGCGGGTTATGTGGGAGGTCAGGCGGGTCAGGGACCTCAGGTGAGGCGATCTGGGCAAACCTCTGTGGTCAAAGTGCCCAAAACGCGCACTATAAATGCATGGGGGCTGGGGATTTAGCTCAGCGGCACAGCGCCTGCCTGGCAAGTGCGAGGTTGTGAGTTCGATTCCCGGTACCGGAAAAAAAACAAAAACAAACAAACAAAAAACAAATAAATACATGGATGCTTTCAGATGTCCTAGCATTTGGAAGGTTCCACGCTCCACCTTCTCTTTTTATGACATCCTGTATTTGCCCAGGGCAGCGCCACTGGCACTGAATGGAGTTTTCTCTGAGAACAATGCCGCTGCTGATAGACACATTGGGTGCTGGAAATTCATGCCCAAGTTGAGCCTGACCCTGGCAAGTTCTGAAAATTCTTTTTGTCTTCAACAGGAGCTACCAAACCTGCTGCAAGAGAGTGGGTTAAAGTACTTACTTCAAACCAGGCGTGGTGGTGCATGCCTGTAATCCCAGCACTTGGGAGGCTGAGGCAGGAGGATTGCTGCAGGTTCGAGACCAGCCTGGGCTACAAAGTGAGTTCAAGACCAGCCTGAACTGCATAGCGAGACCTTGTCTCAAAAAGACAAAAAAAAAAAAAAAAGAAGAAGAAAGAAAAGTTGCTGTAGCTGCACAAATACAAGGAATGCTTTTTCTGAATAAAAAGAATAGCAGCCAGGTCTTTGGGGTCATTAATGTAATCACATAAATGTTCTTCCCATTCAGTAAGATGCATCCTCTCAAACCATGTTAGGATAGCACTGCATTATCATCTGATATAGAAAAATAAAAAATAACAGTCAATTCTTTTCTTTTTTTTTTTCGATTTTTTTCCGGTACCAGGAACTGAACTCACAACCTTGAGCTTGCCAGGCAGGCACTGTGCTGCTGAGCTAAATCCCCAGCCCCTCTTTTTAGTTTTTGAGACAGGGTCTCTTGATGTAGTACAGCCTGCCCTTGAGCTCACTATGTAACCCAGGTTGCTGGGTGTGGTGGTGCACACCTGTAATTCCAGCACTTGGAGGCTGAGGCAGGAGGATCCTGCTGAGTCTGAGACCAGCCTGGGCTACAAAGTGAGCCTAAGGCCAGCCTGAACTGCAGAGCGAGACTCTGTCTCAAAAAAAGCCAAAAAAAAAAAAAAAAAACTAAGCTGTGTAACTCAGATTGGCCTTGAGCTTGCAGCAATCCTTCTGCCTCAGTTTTTTTGTTTTGTTTTGTTTTGTTTTTTAGTTTTTTTTCCCGATACCAGGAATCGAACTCACGACCTTGCACTTGCCAGGCAGGCAGTGTGCCACTGAGCTAAATCCCCAGCCCCTGCCTCAGTTTCTTGAGTGCTGGGATTATAGGTACATGGGCCAACATGCCCAGTTTATTCTTCTATTTTGAGACAGGGTTTTGTTAAATTGTGTAGGCTGGGCTCAAACTTGCAATACTCTGCCTCTTATTTATTACTGATTTTGTTCTGTTTTTGGCGGGGGCAAGGGTCAAACCCAGGGCCTTGCAAATTGTACCTACACACTGTATCACTAAGTATACCTCATCCGTAAGTATAATTTTAAATATATGGCTGACATTTCTGAGTTGAATGGACCACTTATATATTGCTCTATCAGTGGTATCACAGAACTAATTCCCAACCGTCATTTTTTCTTTTCTTTTTTGACTTCTTGAGACAGAGTTCCACTATGCATCTCAAGCTGGCCTTGAACTCACTCTGTAGCCTGGGCTGGCCTCGAGCTGTCAGTGATCATCCTGCCTCAGTTTCCTGAGT